AGAAGGAGAGGGAGGAAGAAGGAGGAGGAGGAAGAGGAGTGAGAAGACGAAGAGGGAGGAAGGAAGGGAGGGGGGAGGAAGGGGCTGTGTCTTTCCACACATCTCTTCTGTTAACTCCCTGTCATTCCTTCGGCCTCACTTGAATCTTTCCGAGCCTTGGCGGAGCAGGTTCACTCCTAGAGTGAGATTTTCCCCAGCTAGCACATACTGTAGAATGAGAGTCTGCACTTTCATGGGCCATTTATAGTCTGCGAGTCTGGGTGGGTAGGAACTGCCTTCCTGCCAGTGGAGAGCAACATCAGCCATGCTGAAATCCGTCCTTCTGTTGGGCACCGCGGTGCCATATGGCTTCATACAGCGTAGCATGAGCACCCTGTCAATCTGAGGTTACACAAATTCTTTGCTATGTGGCAAGGAAAGAAAAATGTCTTGCATAGATAAATTCTGTCCGAAAGACTCCTCAGTGGGGAGTGGGGAGTGGGGAATGGGGGTGAGGGTGTGTGGTCTAAGGCCTCTACTGCTGTCCAGAAGTCATAGTGCTTTTAAGGAAAGTCATTTAAGTACAATTGGTGTCAGCAGGTGACAGTTTCAACAATGAAATACCCACCAGCAGTGTTTTGTAGTCTCTGGAGAATCTAGGATGGTGATTTTTAACCCTTTCCAGTAAGCCATTCAAAATCCAGACATTTAGACAGAGTACCTAAGTAAACTTGTACCCCCCTAGCAAAGCCTACACAAAGTCCTTGCACTGCTGTGGACCAAAGCAACATATTCCTAGGCCCAGCTTTCGTCGCGGGATCGCAGTTCTGGTAGATAACCCCAAGGCGGTGTAAGGAGTCTCTGTTCCACAAGCCATGGGGTCCACTGGGTTGCAATCCAACTTTAAGCACCGACACTTCCTCCTGGCAACAACCCTCGGGTTCCTGTCTGGATAGGCAGCCCTTCTCATGCTGCTTAGTGGCCTGTCACTTCCTTACCTCTGTCCCCTATGCTGCAGCCAGCGAAGGAACTGGCTGCGAGTTATTACCTCGCTGAGTTTGTGCTCAGCGTACCTGTTCCCCAGGGCTGATGGGCGCCAAGCAGGAGGCGGTTTTCTCTGGTTCCGCCTGGAGTGAGGAGCGGTGCCTCAAGTTACCCCAGCAACAAGCTCTTTCCACAACCTCCCAGCATCCCTTCCAAGCCTCCCTCAACTTTCCAACTTTTTGGAAACGTATTTCAAAAGGAGCAATAAGGGAATGACCCAGCTGGAGTCCAAGCCAACCTGGACAAGATCCCGCAAGGATCGGGCGAGTAGCAAGGCCTCTTGACAATAGGTTGGGGTGGGGAGAGAGACAGCCAGACAACCACGGATGGGAAGGTTAAGAAAATGGATGCAGAACTTGCCTGCCCGTCCCCGTGCCCCCCATCTGACCCGGTGCGCCCCCGGAGATGAAGGAGAGGAAAGAAGCAGGGTACTAGGAAGAGACAGATTAGAGGAGATAAAGATAGAGGTTAGAACAGGAAAGAGAGACTGACTCTAGCAACCAAGAGAAGTCACTTCTCCTCAGGAGCCAGGCAAAATGCAACAGATAACCGATACCCAAGCAGCAGTGTAGAAAAGGAGCGTGGTGACAAGAGTCTCCAGGTTCCAAACCTGAGACAAACTCCTTCCCAAGAGTCCCCGAGGCTAAGGAAGACAACCTTGTGCAGAAGCTCCCCTCCCCACCCCATCCCCTACAAAAGGCAAACTCTTGCACGCAGCTACCTGCCACTTGGCCAAGCCTGGCTGCGATACCTCTGGCAGAGACAGGGATATGGAGGTGGGGACGAGGAGGACTCACCCTGGCTGCTGGGGGGCTTTCTCTTCCGGGCCATCTTCAGTCTTGGTCCCTTCCCCCAGGGTCCGCTGCGCAGAGCCTCCTGTGCAGCGCAGCCCCCGGAGCTCCCGCCGCCTGGGCTCAGCGAGCTCTTTGTGGCGGTGATGGCATTTGCCAGGCGGCGGCGGTCAGGTTGCGCGCTCCACTCCACTCGGCTCTGCTGCGCGGGCGCAGTCGCCCCTCCGCTGCCCGCCGCCAGCCCGACCCCCCGCACGCTCTGCGGCGGCCACGGTGGCCCCCTCTGCTGTGTGGCGCCTCTGCTGAAGGGCGCAGCGCTGGGTCCCCGGAGCGCCAGCCCACCTCCCTCGATCCCGCGCCCGCCCTCCCCACGCGTCCCCCTCCTCACGCACTCCCCTTCCCACGCGCTGAAGCCCTCTGTCCCGCGGGGCGCCGCCAGCCCTGGCACGGCACCTTCGTCCAACGACAGTTGGTAGCGGCTGAGGACGGAGGGGACATTCTAGTCAGAAGGATTCAAGGGGGTTAACGGAGTGAGCCCCAGTCTAGCATTCTTGTTTCCCAAGGGCACCGGGGTCTTCAGCTGACTGAGACAGGATCTGTCCATCACCTAAAAGAGCAGTCCTCCTCCGCAGGCTCCTGCGGGTTGGCCAGCCTGAATCCCACCTGGGCGATGGGCTGGAGTCTCAGCTGCTTCTGGTCCTCCTGAGGATGTTAAGCTGGAGGACCTGCAGGGAAAGGGAAGTGAATTCCCACAAACAACCTGTCACCAGACCCTGGCAAGTGACCTTGCTCAGGTCCCAGAGCTCTTTATTTTGAGGACTCAGTATCATTTCTTGAGCTGCCAGGAAAAGACAAATAAAGTTCACCAATCGGGGTTGGTGTGGGAACTGGTGCCGTGATTTGTGATTTCTTAACCTCCTACAGAAACTTAAGCCCTAGGGCCCCATGCTTTCTCGCTCTGGTTAGGAGGCCTATTTTCAAAGTCTCCTGTTCCTGGAGCTGTCCCCTCCTGAGTACTGATGAGGGGGCGGGTTGGTATCCTGCTACTGCCCCCAGGCAGTGCAAAAAGCTATGGTTTAGGGCTAATCTGAAAATATAAAGAAGTCAGGGCTTTAAAAGAGTGTCGGACCAGACGCAGGACTAGTGTCTGGGATCTAAGCATTCGGAAGGCAGAGGTGAGAGGACGGCCATAAGTTTAAATCTACACTGTAGAAGTGGTTTAACTCCCCAAGGCCCTCGAAATTCACATTTTTCTTTTCTTGTTCCTAAGTAGAGCTCCCAACACAATGACTAATATCCAATGAATATCTAATATTCAGCGATTATAATTCAATACCCATAGACAGAAGGTTATCCCAATTCTAGTGTAGTTTAACAGAAAAAAACACCAGAGTCAGAAACCAGTGGTAAGTTCTAGACTTGGAACACTACACCTCTGTAAAATTGAGTGAGTCACTTAATTCTTCTGGTGGTGACAGGACATGGTCCTGTCAAACGATATGTCAAAGATTCTCTGAGATATTTCAAGCAAGCAGTGTGACGCAGGCCTGTCATCTAGTGCCTCAGAGGCAGAGGCAAATCTACCTAGTGAGCTCCAGACCAGCCAGGATTACATAGACCTTGTCCACAAAAACAAATCTTAGACTGTGGTGGCCAATTAGTCCTGGCTGTTAGTTTAACTGCATCTGGAATCAACTATAACCCAGGCTGCTGGGCAGTCCCATGAGGTATTTTCTTATTTGAAGTCTTACCCTAAATCAGAGCAGCACTTTCTGGTGGCAGCCCAGATAAAAGGTCGTGGAGGAAGGAAGTTTGGCTTCCTGCCTGCGTGGCCTCACTCTGGCAAGTCCACCCAGCCTGTTGCTGAGACGCTCCCATATTAGAACCAACTTCCGGATTCCAGAACAGGCTGAAGACCTCCAGGAATCCTCAGGCCTTTGGTATCAGATCAGAACCTGCTGAGCGTCCAGGGTGCTGAACTGAGTAATTGCAGGATTCCTGTCCTGTCTGGCATGAAACAACCAATGTTGGACGACCTGAACTACATCCTGTAAGCCAGTCTAGTAAGTCCCGTATCTAATAAACCATTCTACCGTCAGTCTGTTTCTTTAGAAACCTCCGGGTTACACACAGGCAAGTAGAGTCTCACAAAGGTGTGTGACAGAAATAAGCTGCAAGGCCTTCGTGCCCCCCCTCCACCCCCAACAGTTGAAGATGTGTGGCTCCTGACCCGGCTTTGCTCGATAGCGTAACTCTCTCTCACTCTGGTCAAAGAAACTCCTTTAGGCAGTAAAGGAGACCAGTACAGAAAGCCACAGCTGGCCAGAGTGCTAAGAGCAACTAACCATGTAGTGCTCGGCACCAGTCGGCACATCTGTAATACAACCCTTACAGCTAAAGCTCAGAGAACCTCGTGGGAGAGGAGGCCGAAAGACTTAAGAGCCAGAGGATCAGAGCTATAATGTCATGTTTTCTACATGACATGAAAGCTGCACCAAATCTCAACAACACGGTTGCCTAAACTCTTAGAAATGACACCAGTGGGCACTGCAAAATGGAATGGGGGAAACTCAGATGCCTGCGCCCTGGATGAAGAGCTAGAGGACTACAAGTTCCTGAGCTCCACAGCAAGACCCTGTCTCACAAACAAACGAGACAAAGTTCTCTCCAGTTCTTCACATCCTGGGGGTATGTAAATACTTAGGCTCTGTAGATATGCTAAGTCTATCCAGTGTGTTCCCACTTTATCACTGGGTACTAATTATTGTAATTGCTGCCTATATTAGAATAATGTTTCAAATTTGTATATTTCTTCCGTATCCTGTATTTCATTCCATCCTAACCTTAAAGTCTGTGGCTTAGGTGGTGATTCCTGTCCTCAGTTTTAGATGACATAAAGAGATCCATGGAGATGTGACGACTGCTCGAGGCTTCTGGTATATCAACTCAACATCCACTCAACATCAGCACCAATTGCCAATACTGGAGATTAATGCCACTTCAGACCAGAGATGCTTCAGCATGTACTTATTCCTTACAAGAAAAGTGTCGACACTGTACTTGCTTGTTTGGCTGTGGAAGTGGTTGTTTGTTTGGGTGGCTGGCTTTTGAGACAGGATCTCACATTGTAGATGGCCTGGCCCAGCTCACAGTGCAGTGCTGTGGGCTTGGAACTTATGGAAGTACTCTTCTTATCTCTCCCTCTGTGTGCTAGGATTGAGGTGTTTGCCACTCCCGGGCATGGACACTTTCTCAGCAAAGGTGACTGGAAATTTTGGTTGGTTAGATATGTCATCCTTTCATATGACTGTGATTAATGTATAATTTACATTTATAACACTTGTCTTAGTCACAGTTCTATTGCTGCAAAGAGACACCATGACCATAGCAACTCTTTTTTTTTTTTTTTGATGGGTGCAGAACGTTTATTGATGGTATCTCAGAGAGTAAGGAGGGCTCCCTAGGCCCCTCCTGTTGTTATCGGGGGTCCGGGAAGGAAATAGTGAGGGAGATGCTCAGTGTTGGGGACAGGGACTCCTCAGCAACCGAGGGCCTCTCTCTTGCTCTCAGTGTCCTTGCTGGGGTGGGTGGTCCAGGGTTTCTTACTCCTTGGAGGCCATGTAGGCCATGAGGTCCACAACCCTGTTGCTGTAGCCGTATTCATTGTCATACCAGGAAATGAGCTTTACAAAGTTGTCATTGAGAGCAATACCAGCCCCAGCATCAAAGGTGGAGGAGTGGGAGTTGCTGTTGAAGTCACAGGAGACAACCTGGTCCTCAGTGTAGCCCAGGATGCCCTTCAGTGGGCCCTCAGATGCCTGCTTCACAACCTTCTTGATGTCATCGTACTTGGCAGGTTTCTCCAGGCGGCATGTCAGATCCACAACGGATACATTAGGGGTAGGAACGCGGAAGGCCATGCCAGTGAGCTTCCCATTCAGCTCTGGGATGACCTTGCCCACAGCCTTGGCAGCACCAGTGGATGCGGGGATGATGTTCTGGGCAGCCCCACGGCCATCACGCCACAGCTTTCCAGAGGGGCCATCCACAGTCTTCTGAGTGGCAGTGATGGCATGGACTGTGGTCATGAGCCCTTCCACGATGCCAAAGTTGTCATGGATGACCTTGGCCAGGGGGGCTAAGCAGTTGGTGGTGCAGGACGCATTGCTGACAATCTTGAGCGAGTTGTCGTACTTCTCGTGGTTCATACCCATCACAAACATGGGGGCATCAGCAGAAGGGGCAGAGATGATGACCCTTTTGGCCCCACCCTTCAAGTGAGCCCCAGCCTTCTCCATGGTGGTGAAGACGCCAGTGGACTCCACAACATACTCAGCACCAGCATCTGCCCATTTGATGTTAGCGGGATCTCGCTCCTGGAAGATGGTGATGGCCTTCCCGTTGATGACAAGCTTCCCATTCTCAGCCTTGACTGTGCCGTTGAACTTGCCATGGGTGGAGTCATACTGGAACATGTAGACCATGTAGTTGAGGTCAATGAAGGGGTCGTTGATGGCAACAATCTCCACTTTGCCACCAGATGGAGAGCAGAAGGCAGCCCTGGTAACCAGGCGCCCAATACGGCCAAATCCGTTCACACTGACCTTCACCATTTTGTCTACGGGATGAGGCTGGCACTGCACAAGAAGATGCGGCGATCTCTGGAACAGGGAGGAGCAGAGAGCCCATAGCAACTCTTATAAAGGAAAACCGTTTAGTTGGGGCTGGCTTACAGGTTCAGAGGGTCAGTCCATGATCATGCTGGCAGGGAGCACGGCAGCAAGCGTGGCACAGGAACAGCAGCTGAGACCTACATCCAGATCCAAAAGCAGAGAAAGAGGGCCTGGCCTTGGCGTAGCTTTTGAAACTTCAAAGTCTACACTCAATGACGCACCTCCTAATATCCCTCTCAAATACTGCCACTCCTTGATGACCAAGCATCCAAATATATGAGTCCAAAGGGGCCATTCGTATTCAAACCAGCACAGCACTGTAATGCACCAAGATCATGACTTTCCTGTGACTTCCATGACTTTCCAGACCAAGTGTCTCTTAGGTGGCGCAGGCATACATTGTATGCTTTCGTTAAAAGGTTACAAATGAAATGTTCGCATGGAGCAGTGAGGCAAAAATAAATCACATAAGCCATTTAAACACATGGAACACGGGAGCAGAGTAGGGAGTGGGGTGGCCTAAGGTTATACGGGAATGGCAGCAGGCTGCAGAAGTTTACCGTGCCCCCTTGGATTACAAGGGCACTGGTTTTTCAAAAAAAAAAAAAATTAGGAATCCAGATTTTTCGAGGGAAATACCCTTTGTGATGGTAACTAACATAAAGAAACAAGAAACCCATGATTG